ACCTAATATGATTTTCGTCTTCGAAGTCGAAAATCAAATTTCCCTTTTTTTTGCTTGTCAAGTTTTTCAGGTAAGTAATTTATTTCTTCTGGCTGTACGTGGCTGCTTTGTATGTTGTTCATAAGAACAATTTTATCATTTTTTCATTTCATTAACATGATCAAAGATTGACCCGAAACACGTGATCGAAGTAGAATGTAAACACGTATTTAGCGTAAACTTTGCTATTCATTCAACGATTGATCAGTTGTTCGTGGTAAGATCCTCTGTGCGCATTTATAACAATAGTCATATAATGCAAACAAAGTTTTGTCAGTTTAGATGATATAACACCAGTCTGAGTCCATTTTTTTTTTTATCGATTTGCTAGTTAGCTATAATTTTATGATAAGATATAGTATATTGTTATTTTACCTCCCCCCTTTTAGCCACCCTTTTTCTCATTAAAATCATGAAAGTCTTTCAAAAAGGTCTGGATACACATTTTTTACAGGACTATAGCAATTTTCTGTTAACTGCCAAATTTATTTCGAAAACCGATTCTACCCTATAACCTTTGACTAGGTCAACCTCAACCACGTGCCATGAATTTAGATCGCTATAACATTTGTTGTGGTGTACTAATCTCTAATTAGATTCTGCTGGGCTAGATATTTGGACTGACGTCCGCAGAATCTCTGGACAGCCACTAATAATTCATGTCTGGAGATTAGACCCCATGGCAACTTCGACCGATTTTAGCAAGAATTATTCGCCTGGACCACACTGTTGTTCGCCCATTTGGTTGCTTATTTGACTCTCTACATAGCTTACCGCCTAGGCAGGTAAATCCTAACATAAAAATATTCACTGAAATCTCCATTCGATACATGGCTTCCATAACGGAATTGTTTACCTCCTCGAATAAAAGAGTTCCTATAGTCTGATTTTACCCTATGTGATGTTCAATAAACCAAAGTAGAAATTGGTTCAGAATTACATTGGGTAAAAATAGACTATAGGAACTCTTTTATTCTGATTTTTGTAGAGATATACTGAATAATACATCAGTTTATTTCTTTATAATTTATCTTACCGGTAGGGCACTAGTGCAATACTCACAGAATGTTTTTATAAGTTATATATTATTTATTTATTTTTTGAAATTGAAAGCGGTTTAATTTTTATTAAACTATAAAAAACATAAATACAAAATACATTTTATCGATAGTAAATTATCACTTTTCCGAAGAACATGAGATAAAAAAAGCATTTAAGAATGTACAACACACCTACCCCAGTACATGACTATATATCTACTGTGTGTATGCACATTTTGGACGAAATCGTAAGAGTGGTATTTGAACAGGAAATTCCAAAAGTTACCCCCCCCCCCTTTAGTTGTTTACGAATAGAGAAAATTTTTAATCAATGAACTACTTAAACCTTGATTTTCAAAAAAAAAAAAGCTAGGTTAGCTTTAACTGTCAAATTTCATTGACTTATTCCTTTAACCATTTAACACAAAAACATAGTCATCTTTTTTCATATACATCTCATCAACATTTTTTTTAAAGACCTTAAATTGAAATCTATGAATTATCTAAGCCTTGAAAATTGTGTATTTTTCAATTTCAAACTTTTTTTTGTAAAAAAAAACCTGTCGTTTAATTTTGGTCAAAACTTTCTTTAGGTAGTTGTTAGTAAAAAAAATCTTCATAATTTATTTGCATAATTTTTGTACGACCAGTTTTGATTTAATAGCGGAAAATTACCACCAACCCCTTTCTCAATAAATCACGTTTCCGTGTGTCTTTCAGACTTTGGTCGATCACTATGCAAAGAATCTACACTTACACGTTTAAAAAAAATCAAATCGGAATATTGCTTTTGCTTCAAAAATACATTAAGTGACAAATATAAAAGTTCTCATATGTAAAGCACATTTAAATAAAGATTTTTAGGCAAATTTTGAATAACCCTCACCCCCACCCCTACCCCCATCCCCCGCAGACTATTACTAGCGTTTGACGAAACGTCGTTTACAGTGCATGCAGATATATTTCTCATTTGAATCCCTGAGGTATGCATTAGTTTGTAAATTCATGAATGCCGACTAAATATTGACTACTGGTATTATATGTATCAGGAAAAAAATACTGAAGGATTTTAGTGTTTAGCCCATATATGTATGCGTTATGCATTCCATATCACATGAAACCTGGATAAAACTTTCAACTTATGTCGAAAATGTTGATTTTTGATTTTATTTCTTTAATTTTATTTATTAAAAAAATTGTGTATGTTCAACTCTCCTGTGACATAAATGGAATAGTTAAAGTTTCTTTCATGTCATTATTTCAAACGAGACAGAAAGAGTGCATTCGAATGTGGCCATGGGGATACATCGACATTCGCATACATGTACACCCCTGACGATATTGTACACACTTTCAATGTAGTTGGCTAGTTGCTTCTAAAGTTAAAATAAAAAATTCTGAACGGTATTCGTCCACATTAACTTCAAGATATCAAACATTAAACTCTTCATATATTTTAATTTATATTTATGCGCACATTGATATTTTCAAAAATCTTATATAGGCTACATTTTGTTATGATTCAAGGAAATGCGAACCGACATTGTTATCAGTGACAGAAAGTCAAACGATTTGCTGCAATAGGATATTCATAAATTCAGATAATTTCAGTACAAGTAAACACTTCTTTTCAATTCTATACTTACATTGTGTGTATGAGGTCTATAGTATTCAATTCTCGGAGTTATCACGTCTTGCTGTAAATGGTATGCGGAAAACCGTGAATAAACAGTGATAAAGGGAGGAAAACAAACGTCTCCTTCATTTTCAGAGTTGTTCCTCTTTGATCATGCAATAAGGGTCTGCGAACATTTATTTTATACATAATTTGTGTGTGTGTGTGTGTGTGTATTGTTGTTTTTTTTTAAATTAAAGAAGAAAAATTTATATTTATATCGTAAATGCACAGATTATAATAAAGATCATTAATCGGAATGTTATATAGCCAAATGTACATATTGAGAATTTCGGCAATGTACAAATGTAAAATAAAATTTTCATAATAAAAAAAATGCTGCGCTTTGATCAAGAATACAATTTTTGAAATGAAATAAAGAATAAGGGATGGTATTTTGTTTGTTGCTTTTTACGGAGTTTAATCAGGTTAATAAAAAAATATTTTCATATGACGTCATGCCACCGGAAGTTTCGTTCAGGCGCCATTTTGTGGGTCAAGCTGTGTTTACAACCAGAATTTTTGTTATATCATACCCCCCTACGCGAGATGTAATTAATCCAGGATTATTATCCAGGAAAATTATGTTTATGTTCAGTAAAAAAGATGTTAGAGCATTGATGTTTTATTTGTTTAGTTCAAATGTGCACTGTTCACTGGACCCCTGTTCACTAAATTATTCCACTCTAAAAGCTTGTGATATTTATAACCGAAGATACTGTGTGTAATGCACATTAAATTTACTTACGTCTTTTATTGAATTCATTTTAGGTGACAGAGCAGATCTATATGATTTTGCAAATCCAGACTGGGCCCCATCTCTGAATATGAATACGAAAGATCAGCAATGCACAGAGAGGAGAATGGAGCGCCATGAAAGGTTAAAGAAACGTTTGGAATCAAAGAAATTGCAGGAGGCAGCTACCTTAGCATCGATTATTGAACATCCAGAGTATGCTCAGTGCAAAAAAAGTGCAAGGGCATAGACTTTTTTGTTTGAGCTGAAATTTGGAATATTTATTGCTCATATAGTGTATATTTTGAAAAGTGCTGAGAGCTGATCCTGGTCTGCATAACATAAATTTCATTTATATCAGAATTTAAGCGAAGTGGAAATTTTTAGCTATTATAAGCATTTTCGGCAAAATTTCAAGTACTTCGCAAACAGCACTGACTAGCTCCCAGCACTTTTTGGGGAGAGGATATTAACCTCTTTTAATGTGTATCAATTTTTTTCTTGAAAAACAAGCATATGCCCTTGCACTACCCCAATTTCCTACATTCGGCTTAACAATTCTATTTTTATACAAGTCACGTGACAAAAAGCTGATACGTGCGATATAACTGGTAATAACTACGGCCCAGTCCTATCCATTATTGATAGCTATATTACATTTTCTACAAGTATTCAGTTGCTTTGTTAAATTTTTTTAAAAGAAGCAATACATATCAAAACGGTGCAAAGGTTTCATTTTCCATATTGGTCCTTAACATAGCTGAGTCAAGGATGCATTTCTTTCATCTCAGAAGCATGGAGAGGTAGAACGAGCGACAAACACATAACCGACCACAATGGCTTTTAAAATAAACTTTTGCCAGGAGATATTGTTCTTGCAGACAGGGGCTGTGACATCCATGAGAGTGTGGGACTTGTGTGTGCTGAAGTGAAAATCCCAAATTTTACGAAGGGAAAAACTCAACTTTCTGCCAGAAAAATTGAAAACACTCGCAAATTGCCCATGTAAGTATCCATGTTGAGAGAGTTATTGGACTATTGCGAAATAAGTGTATGATAGTTTCCGATACTATGCCAGTTGACTTTTTAGTGACTTCTGAAGAAAACCAGGTTCCAGTGGTAGACAAAATTGTTACAGTATGCTGTGGACTTACAAACTTATGCCAATCTGTAATTCCATTTAACTAATGTATACTGTATCGCAGTGTGTGTTTTTGAATTGGAGTGATGTGGAATAAATCCAATGTTGTTGATAAACCTGAAACTGCATGCCATTCATTAACATGATAATGCTTGTTTTTGCATTTCTTTATATGTGAGATAAATTTCTCTGATTTCCCTGAATATGATTGAGATTTGCTATGTTTAGATAATATTAATGGTAAATCACAAATTTAATCATTAGTAAGGACACACTATACTCAAAATGACTTGCTTAGAAAAATGCGACGTGTTTTAGAAATTTGAAAATCTGTACAGAATGTTTCAAGTTGACAATTTTATGCACAACAATCACATGACACCACTGCATCAGGAGAGGCTTCGAAGTGCGGGAAGTTTGGATTTAATACAAGTCCACTTTTTTCACATTTAAAATTCTAATGGTTTTTTTCCATCTCCTTGCTGTAATATTCCCGAGCTAATTCCTCATGATTACATCCCCAGCGAGTTGCATTTGTGGAGAATTTTATTGTGGTTGGGTGGCAAATGGCATTTACCAAACTCTTTGATGGATTGTCTATGGATGTAACACACACGCTCTTCATTCGAGAAGCTGTAATCCTCCCTGTTCATATATGATGCCATGTTTTGTTGCTAGACTGATCTCTTGTTTCTTCTTCAGTAAACTTGCACTGCTCCTCTAACACACAAGGATGCAAATATATCTTCACATTTGGCCAAACACTTATCCTTTGATAATTTCTCATATTCTTCACTGTATAGTTCTGAGAGTAGAGTTGGGAAGGCTTCTTCAGTGCACTTTGGTACATATGCATTTGAGAACTCCTCCTTCACAGTTAGAATGACTGATTTAGTGTTATTGCTGAGGACTTTCCTAAGAAATGTAGAGATTTGGCCTTCAGTAGGCGGTGGAACATCTGGAAGCATTATCCCTCCTGCTCGTCTAGGGGTGTTTCTAGTAGTTATGTTGTCCTCCAGCGTTTTCTTCATTGCCTTTGCTGACTGAAAGTTTATGTCTTTAATAGGTTTATACTGCACTTTCTGCAAGCCGGATGGGGGTTTCCAATATGCAGGTTCTTCTGTCACAGTCTTTGAGTTTTTGATTTTCACTGCTGCGTCGATAAAATAGTAGGGCACCAACATGGCTACAGGCCTCTCAAAGTCCAGCCATGCAGTTACAATGTGCAGTTTCTATGGTTCCACATTTCACGGCTATTACTCATGGTTTCAGAGGGGGGTCATTCATTCTCTGTAAATGACGAACCTGATAAGAAGATATTTTTGAATATTATAAATATTTTGTATAAATTTTAGACATTTCATTGCTCAGCAAAGGTAATTAATATAAATAATAAAATAACTAACTTCACAATAAATATATTGCTTATTTATCTTTAAAAATGACATGAATCATGTATATACATAATACTAGTACATGTATATAGAAAAAAACCACCCAGGTCATATACATTATACTGTTGCTATATTACAGTTTGTTTACAGATGTTGCTTGGATATGCATCATATATTTTCCTTTTTTTTTCAAAATCAATATAAATCTGGTCTACTGCAGATAATTTGTCCATAAGAATTCTAAGTTTTTTTCTTAACATAATTCTAGCATACTCAATGTTTAATAGATTAAGTTTAGTTAATTAAAAAAACAACAACATGTAATTGTAGCTTACTTTGGCAAGCAGAAGATGTTTACAGTTGATTACTGAATGGCAAACATCTGTAACCCAGCCACAAACAAACTGGTTGTAAGCCTCCAATGATTTGTAAGCTTTGAAGTCTTCAAATGTATATGCACTTTTGCTATAAACCAAATAGTTCACTATGTCCGGATACGTAATATCTGGAAAATTGTCCCTCTCCCTCGACCACTCTTTGTTAGAAACCTCGTACGGGTCTTTCCCATCGACTAATTTAAGTTTTTCGTTATATCTTTCTCTTGAAACATAATCCAACGAGTCTGTGTACTTTAACTTTCCTGTTTTCTCTTTCGTTTTGGTTATGGAGGTCATAGCGTCACAGTTATTTATAAATATAACATGTGATTCTCTTTTACACGCGTCAGTCTTGACCCACAAAATGGCGGACAGGCGTAAATGCCCGTATGTATACAAAGGGAGTGAAAACTCTCCAGGTATGGTACTCATAACCACAACCAAGTCCCATATCTCATTTTTCTTCTATGATTGATAATACATCGGGATCGTTTTACTAGTCATTTTGACGCTTTATTTTTGACGTCAAATTTGACGTCACGTAAAACGTTCAATTGAAATCGCAAGAGTTATCTCCCCCAGTGTGTTGTACGTCTTTAAAACTTCTAAATCGTAAATTTAAATAACATTAACTTACCGGACAGACCTGTTCTCCAACGACTGTAATCCCCCACAGGACCTAAAAAATAAGATAAAAAAAGTATCAGAATGAATAAAGCAAAATTAGTTAGAAAGTTTCGATAGCTTCATTTACAATATGAACTACTACCTATACACTGTAGTATATCTATATCTATGAAATTAGAGGACACAAGTATCTGTATTTTGTGATTTGATGCTCGCTTTATTCCTCAAGTTGACACAGGTATATTCGCAAACGATCCCCCACCCCCTCTCCCCTCTCAAAAATGAACAGTAAAGGAACGGGGAATGCAAGATGAAAGATTTGTTTAGAATGTCTCTTCCTTGCATTGTAAATATCCTATTTTATTTCATTGTCAGGTGTAGAAAGCATTAATTCATCACCTATATAAATTGATTATAAAATGCCGGCAGAACAAAAGCAAGTATTTTATTTTTTTTTTGTTTTGTTTTGAACACTTCAATTACAAATAGATAAGTACTTAAGTACTTAAAACGTAAATGAATAAATTCCACATAATGCTCTAAAAAAGTGCTTTATATGTACAGTTATAAACTCGTTTAATACAAATACGGATATTGCAAATTCACGGATACAGCAATGTTATCTAAGATCTCCAGCTGTATACAAACAATGTAAAAACAAATTTATTACACAGATATATTTAACGAATTACGAATATAGCGAAGAAGTTTTACAAGTTCCTGTGACTTCTTTATTGCCGAGTTTCACTGTATTTACATTAAGTACGAACACTAGTCATGTTTCTTACAATTTTTTCTGCAAATATGTACATGTATAACCATATGATTATTTTGTTTAAATTGAGTTGTTTAGTGATGGACGATATATCTCTGTACAATGTGAAAAGTTTCACTAATACCATACAATGATGAAGGGATTGTTCCCTTTCTTTCCATAGATTTAGCTATAGTATAGTTTAGGAAACTTTATATCCTTTTTGCTCTGCTTGATACATATTTTTGCTAATTTTTACTGATTTATCGCTCAACGATTCGTACATATTCCACACGTTAAACTGCGTATGATTCTAAGAACTTGTCATTTTACTTTTTCCATCATTCGTTCAATATTATATTCAACTGTATTTCTGTAGCTCCCTGGTCAGAAAAAAAATGGCTGACCAGAGAGCTACAGTATCATCCATATAACTAAACGTATATTGTTCAGAAAAAGGCGTGCTGTGTTTATGCCCCTGGGTGGAAAGAATCTGGGGGATATATTGGTTTTATTCTCTTTCACTCTGTCTGTTGTCAACATTGACCTAACCCATAACAATTGACTGGGTGTTGCTAAGGTTTTCAAGTTTCACAGATGTGCACTTATGACAAGACCTTTCTTCATGTACTTACTTTTACAAAAATACTGCACGTACTTTAACTTTGGCAAAAAATTGTTGAACATTTTGAGCTAGGGCTTTCATCCTTCACATATGTATTCAATGTGATAAGATCTTTCATTCGATTTAAATATTTCTTATCTGTTGACATTTTCTCAAAAGATTGAACCACTTTTTTCAAAAACATAAAAATTGGTCATACATTTCAAACAGTTGGAACTAGGGCTTTCATATATCACAGGCGTATTCTTTTCAACAAGACCTACCTTTACGTACCAGAACTTTTGACCTTTTAACCTATACAGTGAAACTTCTCCAAACCGGCCTCCTGGAAACCGGTTCTCCCTGAACTTCGGCCCAATTTATAAGTCCCGGCAAAATTAATAACATTTCTTTACACATAAACTCTCATAAAACCGGCAACCCCTGAAAACTGGACACCGGCAACTTTTCCACGACAAAAGTTAAGAAACAGAAAATTTCCCCTCATTATACCGGCCACTTTTTGATTGCAAAAAAAATAATTGTCATTAGCCAGGTGGGTAATAATGACCGGCCGGGGTAGTGAAAAATAGTGTACCCACGAGAAGCCAGAGGTGTGAAAAACTGAATATGGCCTCATAGGGTTTTCTATTGTTAAGCCGTCTTGAAGGGGCACTCATCATGCCAGACTAGGTCAATGGCCGGTCTAAACTGTGTACATATAATTAACATCAATTAGACTTGAATTAATAAAATATCAAGCAAGTAATAGATTTAAATCACAATATGAATCAACAAATTATCACACGCCATATTGCATCATCTTTTTAAATATACATTAGCGGCTTTAAAATTATGCACTGTTAAAATGCTGTATGGTACGAAAGCAAAAATGAGCCCATTTTCGTAGGTAGAAATTTTTTTTTTCGCGTTTTAACGCGGAAAATTTCGCAAAGAAACGCGTAACTTTCGCGTTAAAACGCGAAATTTTTGCGAATAAACGCGTAACTTTAGCGTTAAAACGCGAAACTTTCGCAAATAAACGCGTAACTTTTGCGTTATAACGTGAAACTTTCGCGAATAAACGCATAACTTTCGCGTAATAACGCGAAACTTTCGAGTTATAACGCGAAACTTTCGCGAATAAACGCGAAACTTTCTCGTAATAACGCGAATCTTTTGTGTAATAACGTGAAACTTTCGCGAATAAACCGTAACTTTCGCGTAATAACTCGAAATTTTTGCAAATAAACGCGTTACTTTCGCGTTATAACGCGAAATGTTTGCTGTTAAACAAAGACATTTTCTTAAGTCTTAACCTTCTTTTGATTTTGTGACCTTGTTAATTCAATTAAAAGAAAAGCAAAAGGCTATCTTGATCTTGAACCATCACAAGCTACAATTTTAAGTTTGCTATTGAATCCGTATTAATACTGTCACATTTTAACTTTCTCTAATCTGTTCAAACCATTCAAAGTTAATGCGAGTTTCTCAAATGTTAAACTTCATGATTTTGAATTATGGGAAAAACCAACCCTTTCAGACATCAATGTTATACACTGTCGAGAAAGCTTGAAAAAAATTGTTGAGATTAAGATGGCAGATTATTGACAAAATAAGATATATTTGTCAATTGTTACCAACCACGTGGATGAAAACTGGAGGGCAAATTTTCATTTGTTTCGTTTAGATTCATTGAAGAAATAAGACATCGTATATTGAGGTCGCGCCACGTGGTCATTCCTTTACTTCTGAAAACATTCACAATTAATTCAAAGTGTAAAAATCTTTGCTGCATTTCTAAATAGTTTTGATTAATTGCGCTAAACCACGAACTTTTCAATAACCCCTTGGATATATAAATATTGTAGAAAAATTAAGAAAAGTAGACCCTCCTCCTCGATCAATTAGTAATTATATTTAACACTTAAACACATCATACATATGTATGACACGTTAATCCCATGAAATTACGCATTATTTAATCACTTTTAAAAAAATAGTGAATGACATTACTGAAAAGAAAAAAAAGACAGCTGGAGAAAGTATCAAGTGGAGATTTTTCTTCAATAATGCAATCAGTCTAGAGAAATTCTCTTGAATTTATCAACTGAAAAACATGAACAAGAAAGTAATGTTCATTCTATTAATTGGTAGTGTTTTGAAATAAAAAAAATCTGATGACTTCTTTTATTATTTTTCCGGACATATCTACTGAGGAAATGATATCTTATTAATAAAATTCATGAAAGTTCCTGTCATCGTTCGTGTTCTTCTCTGTCAGTGAAGATCAAGGTTCCTGAAAAACGTTACTATACGTGTATGCATAGAATTTCGCTGTATATCGTACATGCATATCGTTTTAAAGCGAAACACCACCGGAAAGGGTTATTTTCCTCACAATTCATTTTAAAGAGGCTGGGTGGTCGTGGCCATTTTTAGACTATTTTGGTCACCATTAGAAGAAGAGCTTCATATAAAGATATAATAAACTGATCAGATTTTAAAACTAAAATTTATGAAATTTTTCTTTGCCAAATGATAATTGACAGTTAAAGATTTCATGTCCCAAAATTGATGTTAAATCTGATGGTTAATTAAAAATTAATAAGTTAATCCACTAGCCTCCTTAAATATTTAAAATAATAATAGGGATTAAAGTTTAACTTATGGAGAACTCGCATAAATGAACAGCGCTGAAAAAGGCCACATATGATGGTAAAAATGGATTCCATGGGACGAAAACTTAAAATTATTGCTTGTGTTAGTCCAAACTCAAAATAGCCTTTTCCTTATCATATCATTGTATAATGGACATAAATAAATGTCAAAAATCAAAGGAAAGTTGTGACTTAAGCAAATGCTTTAATTACGCGTTAATTCGCGAAATTGCCGCGTTTATTCGCGAAAGCTTCGCGTTTTAACGCGAAAGTTTCGCGTTTATTTGCGAATGTTCCGCATTGTTATCGCGAAAGTTTTACGTTTATTCACGAAAGTTATTTCGTTCTACTAGGGGGTCATGGGGCCACCTTTGGGCTTCCAGGTAGGGAACGAAGCCCTCGGAAGCTCCTGCCTTTTCGTGTAAAGCAATGTAAAGACATAGTGGCATTGGTAAGTTATGTATCAAAGTATGATAATAAGAATATTAGTCATATCCTACTTTCAAAATTTCTAAGAGGGGGAGGGGGGCTCACACAAAGGCTTCATACCCGCTTGTAATATCAAGCACTTGTCAAGTTGAATGAGCGGACTTCAAAATCACAGGTATACTAAAATCAGAACCTAAAACACTGCGGCTTGTAAAAATAACTTTTTTGATATGATTTTTATTAACTAGAATGTATTCTTAAGTATTTTATATGTAAGCATGAAAGAATTCTCATGAATCAGCAAAATTAAATCATATAAAAGCCAGCGATTTGACA